GTCAGCTGAAAACTTTTCTAAAAACGTTGATGCATAATATCATCCAATATTACATAAGCTCTGCAAAAGTTAAATATAATATGATAAAAATGTTTCTATTTTTTAGAAAATAATACTTTTTTTTACATGATATTTTTATTTTTATTATTAAATAAAGGTTTTCTGACATAAGTCATCTTAACTTATTTTTGATTAAACAAATTTTTTTTTACATTTGGACAATTGATAGATAACAATTACGTTACGTTTCAGTATTTACAACTCGGAGAAAAAAAAAATAGATAAAATTTGCCACCAAGGTGGTTTGTTTTGCTGAGCGTGTTTCGGCCGCTTGACAATTAATGATGTCGCGTAAATGTTTTATTGCATTATCTGCTTTGGAAATGTTTAAAATATTTTTAAGAATAATTATAGATTTTGAGTGATATGTTGTTGGCATTTTTCCCAATCTGGCTTGCCGGTGATAAGTTGATGGGTGGGTGTTGAAAACGATAGAGACGTATCTATTGTAATTTTTACAGGTAAATGGTTTGAATCGAATTCGAGTAGTGGTTCATGGTGAATGGAAAAACGAATCGATTTTTGTAAAATTACATCTAAAATATCAGGAATTCTATTTTTATCATATCGGAAGTAAGTAGGTGTGTCTGGTTCGGRTGGCAGTATTGTGCTAAACAGTTCCCACCCGTTCCTTCGTGTCTGGAGCACAAATGATCGTGGAACTATTTGAGAGATAAATGAATAATTTACGGCCGTTTGAATTTGTAAAAACACTGCTAAATGACTTATCTCTATCTGTAGTATTATTGTAAAGCAAAATATGCAACGATTTTTTTTCTCCATTCACCCATTATAATAATTTAAATATGGCTGAACCAGTGAATCCRTCTCTTAATTATTTAAAATTGTAAGCTTTAGTTCATGTTTTAATATATATCATTATATGTATCATCGTCGAAGTAGGTAGTCATTCTAAAAATTGTAGTTTGCCACATAAGCGTTTTTTTCAAACGTTTAAAGGTGCCAAGCTATTGTATTTTTTACTTGACACGATTAAATATTTGAGGAAAAGAATTATATAGTTATAATTATTAATATATAATAAYTACCTACTATTATTATTGTTATATTTGTAATTGAAGATTATTTGGACTGGCAATTATCTTAAGTACGAAAACTCAATATTATTGATACGTTTTACTTACATCAGATCCTATGTGAAATTTCAGTTTGGCCATCGACATATTGCACCGCATTCCAAATGAGATCATAAAACCTATACAAAATAAAAATAAAATCATTCGTTATAATTAGAAATACGATTTTAATGACTTTTTGATTTATAATTTCATAAGCACTATACTTTGCGAACCAAGCTATCTAAATATTTRTATCATAATTATACGAACAAGAAAATTTAATTTGAATTTTTTATATGCTTATGAGTTTTTGAAATACATTTTGTAAATGTTTTACATATTTAAATTTCTAAATATTGTTAATTTACTATCTACAATTTAAATTCATAATAAGTCTTAATACCTACATTTTTTAAATTTAATTTGTAAAATTATGAAAATTAAAAAATAATTATTAAATTAGGTATTAATAAAAGTAATTTTGAAATTACAATTTCATCCACTTATGTCCCTATAGTTATTTATCTACCTATAATTTAAAATTATTATGCATTTTTAAGGTACTTTAGCATTTTTTGTTTATGGTGGGATAATATATATTTTYGGTTTTAGGTGATCAATATCATATCTGTATCATTTGTTAATAAACAAATAAGTTAGTTGGTAACGGTATTTCTTATATTATTATTATTATTATGGTGTCATCAATATCATTCACTGAAATGTCACACGACAACTGTATTTACCGACACATGTTAGTATAGCTATTGTATATCTTTTGCTGAGATTTGGTATTTCCGGTTTGATGTATTTATCGATGTGTCTGAGCGGTGGACGAACGGGCGAAGGCAGCGACTCGGTCGGACTTTGTAGACCAAATTCACCGCTACCCGAATAATCTTCAGTGTAGCTGAAAAGGAATAATATTTCCCGTTTCATGTTAATTATAATCAATTATTATTATATTTTAAATATGATAAATTATTATTCATATAATTAATTATTTTATTATACGAATTTTACTGAAAGTATAATATATAATGTAGGTATAATAATAATTATAATAATATTTAAATAGTATATGGATTGGTATTTACGGAATGGAAGACTTTTCTAAATGTGATTTGTTTGCAAATTCGAACTCGTCGTATTGTTGTTGATTTGGGCTGGAAAAAAATAAAATTACAAAAATTAATAATTTCCTACTGTAATATAAATATATTAAAATATGATGGGGCGTTGTGGAAAACTCTAGATTTAAATCGTTTATTGAACGATTATCCTGTTTCTATCCAATCGTATAATAATCACTTTRTATAAAAAGTTTATCTTCCAATGCATATTATATTAAATAAGTTGTCACGGCAAAGAACATAAATATGTATTAAATATGTAATTACTCAATTTAATTAAAAAAATGAGTCGTTTTGTKTTTTTAATCTCARGAAATTTCCAAAAACTTTAAAACTTTTCGAGTTTGAATCAATATCAAGCTACGCATAAAACTATATGAAAAACTATAAAACTATCAATCAGTTGTTTTGGAATTATTCAGTGTTTTGAGTTTTATCATTTTTCAGGACTAATAGATTTTGTGAATTGAATTCTCTCTTAAAATGTTACCAACGTGATTTGAACTAAAATACCTGAACATAATCCACCAAAATACAGCCGAGACTAAATACGATGATATTGGAGATAGATAAAATAAATTAAATCGAAAGTAAATTCTGTTGTTATTAAAATCTACATAAGCATTGAAAATAATGACTTAAGGGACAATATTTTTTCAATGTTCGATGAGCTTGAWATATTGAATACCGAAAAAATCTGAATAGGTAGTGGAAAAAAATTATATTGTTGCAGGAATACAGTCGTCGGTTTATGCTGAAGTGAAGAGCTGTACATCACCTATACTTTTATCCTTAGATATAATATATTATTTATATATTAACATTGAATTTCAAACGAGTAAATATAGTCAATTACCTAATAATAAATTATATGTATAATATATTTACCTAATATATGTATATACTGAATACTGATGAGGGGAGTAGGAGGGACTATCATTTTTCTTGAACCTCTATGCCAGTCCTCTAATTTCATCTACACTTTAAATAAAATATAAATAATAGGTACTTATAAATGATGAGTTTATAACTAAACTATTCTAGAATTCGATATGTATATGCATTGAAAATCTCAGAAAAATTATATTAAGATGATGACCGATTACTGAGTAATTTTCGGAAACAACTATAATAATATTATGTCAGGGAAAATGATTGACAGGAATTTTTTTATGATAGTATCAAATAATATGATCTGGAAACTAATTCACAGTATAATCTAACTGAGGAACTGTGCATATTTTAGAGGAAAATAATATCTAGGAAAGTATAAGTGCAGGAATTACACTGGAAAATATTTTTCTAGCTTTGAAATTTCAGTAYATTAACTTTCTGATTTCTCTTCTAAAATTCGCATATATTTTGCTTTCATACTTTTTTGGATTTCCTAGCTTCTTAAAAAATAATTCTACTCCAAAGTATGAAATTAAAATCGTATTTATTCATTGAAATATTAGGTTGTGTTATGAGGAAAAAAGAAAATTTGTTTTAAATTATGTATTATAATGTTTTCTATTCAAATATTTTTTTCCAATGACTACCGATTACATATTTTCTTAATAATGTAACAATTAATAAATACATAGGTAGGTACTTTCAAAAGCGTTATTATAGTTGTTCAAGGTAATGAGTGTTTGCAGTCAAAAGAATCGTTCTGACGTGTGACTACTGACTAGTCTATTATATATAGGTGTCACGATAATATTACACGTACCTTGCAAGACGCGCCACCTAGTCTACCGACGACGGGACTTGAGATGTGGAGTGAGCGAGAGAAAGAGAGAGAGACAGACAGATAGACAGAAGACAGCCCACTTTACGTCGGGAACAGATACGAACGTTGCTGCCGCCGCCACGGAATCACGTCCCCCGTGTATTCGCGCTACGAGTGATTAAAACCGAATGGGGCGCGTCGGCGGCGGCACAATGGTATACGGCAATTCAATTAATTTCCGTGAACGGCAAACCTACTCATAATACTATATAATAAACATATATATATATTATCGTGTTACATATACATGCGTACTTGCATTCTTATACTCGGCATTCTTTGCTCGGAAACTTTTCCTCTCTGCGCCGTTGCGCGCAAACACGCTTTGAACTCGAGACCACGCAYAACTTTTTAACCGTATAAAATATCAAAAACAATATTCGACGCGGAATAGGCCAAAACAATATTTTATAAAACGGAATAACCTGCAGTAAAATATGAATTGTTTTTAGAAATGACTAG